ACGATTGTTCTATGTGCTGTGTTTCCTCTTCGGTGCTAAGGTTCCAATGTTGCAGCTGGTTTCAGGTAATTTCCTACGGACGTTGTCAACGAAGCACTACCTCTGCGGTCATAGTAAGTCAAGATTACAGTGGAGTGATATCTGATTGATCGTTTTAAGAACCCTTGACTTGTTTTTGATTTGATTTATTTATTCAATGTCAAGGTACTGACTTTTGCATAACAAATTGTGCGTCTTTTTCCGCAAACATAACAAACTATGATTAAGTGGTGATAAAGAGTAACTATTTATTTTTATCAAAACTCAACATAGCAACACCTATGAAGCCTATCAACAATGTAAACACAAATCAACAACATTGAAACGCTAACCGCTACACTATCTATAAGGATCATACCGAAAGAACAACACCCTTCAGCGGGTCATGCTTGAGTAGGAAGATCTTCTTTGGCACCTTTATCGGGTGCTTGAGTGTCTCAAGAGGAGTAATACGAGAGGTTTCTCGAACCAAGCTGGGTTTTCCCAAGCGTCCCTCTGCATATCGAGCAACAACTCCTGAATAAAATGGTTGTTTTCGAGAAATGAAAGGTTTGGGAAGACTTTTTCAACCAACCTGTTCCGCGCTTAGCCACATACCACCCAACAGCCAGAGCAGTTAAAGTACCAACCTTAAAAACTCAAGTTGATCCCGTCCGAGTCAAACAGATTCATATAGACTTACAGCTGCAGTCATCTTTGTTTTGTCGGACAAGAAATCTTGAAGACCAGCACCAAGAACAGCGCCGCTTGTTCTGAAGCACATAACTGAGCTAGTTTCCCGTAAACATACTATCATTTGTAGAAGATTAGAGCAGAAAGGTCAGTATCGAAGGTTATTAGCACGGATCAAAGGAGAGGAGCTTACTTGATCTTTTCGATGACGGTTTTTCTATTCCCTTATTCACGAAGCTTCATCTTTTCGAGGTTGACATCACTGAAAATGAATAATACAGGAGTTGAAATACTTTCTGTAGTTAGTGGTCAGTTCAGTCTAGTTGGAGGCACAAATACATGCACATGCCATTTACTATGTAATATTCAGAAACAAACAAAATGGAGGGAACAGAAAGCGACTTTTCGCGTTTTACAGCGCGAAACATTTTCCGCTGCGGGAACCTCAGGTCCACCGCTGATCATCAGTGGACCCGAGTTCCCGCAGCGAATCATCAATAATCATCATTCCGCGCTGCGTCACGCGAAAAAGCGCTTTCTGTCCTAGTGAACCACACCCTGGGAAGCCTACCCTTCGCAACGCTCCTTTGTGCAAGAGATCACCGAAGGAAACTTCCGTTTTGTTGTCAGAGCGCTGGTAGGTCAAGATATTCGTCTGTTGGCTCCACTGTAGAACACCTTTTGCCCTTTAATAGAGTTCACATCAAAGATCGAAAAGCTTCGCAATGACAAAGAATACCAAGCATTGATACTTTAAACGGAGGAAAAAAAACTAAGAGATCTCATAAATATGATACCACACGCTTGACCCTCCAACGTCTATGTGGAAATAGGTGTAAGAACCACCCATCCCACAGAGACAGAACAATGCCACTTCAGGCTTATTCCTGCGATGCTCCTCGAGGACCTCCACAATTTGACGGACTGCAAATCATCAAATTGGATGCTGACAAAAAGTTTTTCAACATGTACGGTACATATACATGGTAAGGTTGCTTCGAGGAATGCCGTGGTAATGGATGAATGGGAGTGCAGTGAGTTTGCATTGCATTAAATAACAAGCCAAAAAAAGAAAACAAAAAACAAAAGAAAAATATGAAAGTTAAGAACTATGTAACTTAAAGGTCGACCTAGACGGAAAAAAAAAACTAAAAGACCTCATAACATGATACCACACGCTTGACCCTCTAACTTCTATGTGGAAATAGGTGTAAGAATTACTCATCCCGCAAACCAGACCACAACCACCCAAAAAACTAAGCCGAAGCACGTTACAAAAGCCTGATTAACTATACCAATCGGAATTACTAAACGGAGACCATTCTAGAGGATTTTTCGCCAGCTCAACTCGTCCACTACAGTCGCGACGTCGCGGCCGCGACCACAGGCGCGGGTCTCCGGACGATTCTGTTGCTACACACCCACCAGGAATTCGTCTTTAAACTAGTCCTGTTTGCACAATCTCGGTTGCGGATAAGCTGAATAGGAGCAAGGTTCATAGAAGTTGCTACGGAGTCATTATGGCATATGAAGCCTTACAATCGACATATTAGAGAAATCCTTCTCGGAAAAATCGTTATTCACCCATAATTCACTGGCTTGAGACTTATCGTTCACGATAAGAAGGAAAAGAACAGAAAAATTGCATTTGTTTTGGTAAAAAATTCGAAAAACCGAAAGGGCTGCTACGCGTTCAAAGTACCGCCGGACATCTGTAAATGCTGGCGACGGGGATGCTTCCACTTGGTTCTTGAAGTGCCTTCAC